CTACACTCTGGTAACGTTCTCTTTCATGGTCTCTTGTTTTTAAGAAACCTTCTCCAGGCTTATCAACACCTGTCAGCAGCAAGTGTACATTTCTGTTCCTTGACAGCAAGAATAGCTTTAGAAAACGTCATAACTGGTCTTTATACTTAATATTTCTCTTATAAATATCTATTATGCTGTCCTGCTGACTTTCAGTAAAGACATGTCCTTATATGAGCCAAGACATCAAGATCCAGTACATGTATGGACTATACAGCACAGTGATAGCAACACATCTTATAATGATGAGATTAACAGGCACCAAATTTGGATCTGGAACAACCCTTATTTGCTGTGCTGGCTCAGGACATCCTGAAATGACTAGAGATAAAGTACTAGAAGGAAAAAGACTACAGCTTTGCAAAGCTGTGTGAAGAATTTTTTGATCTAGATAAGTCATAATATAATAGAATATATAATATAACATAATTTTGGGATACATTAGTTTGCTTTTTAATTATGTTCATTTTGTTCTCTCACTCTAATTTCTTATTATCAGATGTTATTGCAATAACCATTGGACATTAACTCCAATGATCTGATGGCCATTTCATTGTTAATGCCTGCTGGGCAACTTTGACAAACTACGTAGCTGTAAAGTTCATCTGCTCTGAAGAAGTCGTTAGGATATGACATGTTTGCTGACTGAAGCAATCGTGACTGTTACTCTTAGAACTGATTGTTCTACGTAGAATGATCAAAAATATATTAAAAGGTTGGATAATCACAACCCTGATCCTAAAACAAAAAATTTGTGCTTAGATTAGAAGGAAAATTATATTTATTGTCATGTTTAACAGGTTTTATGAGATCCTATATCTTCCAGGCATAGGTGAGACATCTGATAGAAATCACTCCGTTCCTGGATCTCTTCCCATACATAACTTTTTTAAAATTGCTCTTGAATTATTAACACTATATGTATGAAAATAGGATTCTAGTGCCTATAAAATACTTCTGACCTCATTACTCTCTTATTCCCCGTGTAACATTACAGTTGGTGATTTATGACTTTGTCATAATTTCAACAGTATTAACCTCTGGTGTCAAACATAGTTGACATTTTCTGGGGATGCAGTAGCAGAAGATAAACACCCATGGACAAAATTATGATTTAAGCAAATTTCTTCTGTATCACAGAATAATCCAATACACAGTAATGCTACTAGATAGCAAAAAGCCACCTTCAGTGAGAGAAGACAGTGATACTGCTGTGACACTGTTAAAATTTTCCATTGTGGACATACATTTTCATAGTAGGTAGGCTTCATAAAATTGCTGAATCTGAAGCAAAAAAACTGAATATGTGTCCCTGACCATTCTATGCTCCCCTCCTGTAATTTTCTGATGGCCTAAGAATTGTGGTAACTTTGCTCAGCCACATCCTGTTCTTTTCATGATGTCTTTATACTGAAGGGAAATGGCTGCACTTCTTAAATCAGCAATCACTGTCTACATCTGTGGGGCCTCCCCATCTGCAGCTGAGAGAACCCAGAGAAAGAAATTCAAAATAATTTATGTTCATATGATACTTAGTCTCTTTCACACACTGTCAGTGCAGGCAGCTATGCAGGGGCCTGGGGAAAAAACGTACAGCTTTCATCTTCTTCTTCCTTGAAAGACACTGGCCATCACTTTGATTGCAAGAGAATGTCTGGTGTCTATGTTGATAAGACAACAGAATTACTGAATTTACTCCTTCATGAACCACTAGGAAAAATGATATTGTATTTTTCTTTCATTAACCCCACTGTGTAAATAATAAATTGGGATCCCAGCCTAGTTTTTGCACAGCTATTGTGCACCATTTGCAGATGTTCAAATAGTGAAACCTGAGCCAAATATTCTTTTCACTTAAGAATTTGCACGGGGGTGTGGTTGGCAGCACTTGAACAAGGAAACCTGGCAACAACTAGATACTTAAAGTGAGCAGGAAGTGTAAAAAAAGCAGAACATTTGTATATTTGCAGTGGAGATGCTTATTTAGAGTCAACTGAAGTAGCTGCTATGGACAAGAATCTAAAGCGAATATCTAAGGGACTTCAAGTCTCCACCACAGACACTTGTGTAACACTCAGCATAGCTCACTTTGTGTTTTATAAGCTGCTCCCTTCCCCTCCTGTTCCCCCTCATACCATGCATCAAAGTGTAATGAATCAAAGGTCTGGTCCTAGGTCTTTAGAGATTTCCCAGCTCTCTCTCTTCCCTCAACCCTCCTCCCCATACCAACAGCATTCCCACCAACAGCCGTAGGACTGCAACATGCAGATAAGGTCAACCTTTTTTGGTCACCATTGAACAGAGGCAAACTGCCATTGTAAGACCGAGGGACATTCAGTCTCTGGCTGGAAAACAGTTTCACGGAGAATCCTGTTTCAGCAGAATTCCTCTGAATTCCTGCACTCTCAAGATGAAAAAAGAAAAATCAGAATAAGAGTACGCTAACATGCCCTTAATTTGAAAAAACAGAGTTTGGCAGGAAAAGAAGGAACTAACTGGAGTGGACTTTGAAGATCCCATCAATGAGGAAATGAGTCAATCCATGCTTGTATAGTCTCACCAAACATCCCCAAAAGATAGGAATGTGTATCAGTTTTGTTGTATCTGCATCATACCCTTTATCTCTAACAACGATGTCTGTCATATTGTCCCAGACCAATTTTCTTAAGCCACTACAGTTTTCTTGTTGGCATTGATGAGGACAATTTCTATGCTAAGAATTAATGGAAGCAATGAAGTTTGCCTGAGTCCTAGGAAAACCTTGCAGTTTCACCCAGCTGCACTGGAGACACCAATTTAGCAAAGAACCCTGCAGAAATTTATAGCTGAAGGCACCTGCGTGGGAAACTAAGTAATTTCTCACCTGCGACCTGGCAGCTAATGGTAACGTTTGCTCTCTGGATTGTTTTCACTGTGCTTCCAATATCAACAGTGACAGCAGGCGATTCAGTGTTGATCACAGTTGCTCTCGATGCCTTTATCAGTGGCTTTCCTGTATAAAAGAAGCACCACAGTTTATCAGACCAAGCACGCTGGGCTTGCACGGGACAGATGGCCTGGGACACTCCTGTGTGAAAGTACCTACACAGGACAGGTGGATAAGGGAAAATGCTGGAGTATGAGGCTACCCACTGTTTATAATATTACAGTGTCACCAAATTCCATGGGAAAAGATGTGGAAAAATGAAAAGCATACTTACAGCAGAGGCAGAATAGCATTAAAGCCACATGGACAGACATGAGAACCAGCTGAATCAATAAACATCAGTACAACCGGTGCTGCAGCAAGATGTTTGCCTGGTACTGCAACCAAAATACCACACTTTGCCAAATGCCAAACATAGGGGAAAGTAAGCCTGAGTGATGGCTACAGGCACATTAATAGTGCAGGAGGTTTAGAGCAACATGCAAGCTGTTTCTACACAACTGTCATGTTTTCTTTACCCTACAGCAGAAACACTGGGATTGGGAAGACCAAACCATAACCAGAAAGTTTTCTCATAATGGCTAGTGTAAGTAGATAAGGGACATAAAAAAGCTCCTTTCTGTCAGATAACCTGTTTTGTTTTATCCAAAGCCTGTAGCAACAGTGTTATGCACTAACATTGTTTATATCTAATAAAGATACCTGTGCTGCCTGCAACAAGTTTTCAAACTGTTTTCAGTGTCCTTCCAACACTGTCCTTCCAGCAAGTGGGTCAAAGTGTACCCCTGCTGCTGTGCCTGTCTGTGTGGGATTATCTGTGGAGTTACCCACCATCAGGGGCTTGAGGAGCCTTCTGCAATCCCTTTTGTAGGGGCACTGTGAAGGCATACCCACATGACACAAAACAGTTCAGAGGTACTCGGGCTCAGCTCTGAGAGAGGGGAGTGAAGCAGCAGAGCCGACAAAGCTGTGTTAAGGCAGCCTCCCTCTCCCAGCCAAAATGCTCTGCAGGCAGGATGTTGGCAGGAAAGGCAGAACATGACAACATCGCTTTAAATGGTATGGGACTTGGGTGGTTTTGACTCAGTGTTGTCTTTTCAAATTCATCTTTACTGAAAAATCTATAAACACATTTTTTTTTTCCCTTTAAATAAATGGTCAGATACAAAACAGATTCAGATATCATCATTTGCCTCCAGAAGCTGCAGTTGTAGGCTATTGTCTACCACTGGCTTCTTTTGTGTGTTAATCTGGAGGTGACTAAGGAAGAAAAGATGGAGATGAGAAAAAGCATTTGGTTTCACTGAGCTCATGGAGAGCCCTGAAAATTGAATTTATCCCTAACTATAAATTGCTCCATAGCTATATTTCCAGGGCTTTTAAAATACCCCTTTCATCTGGAATTCCTGTCATATCAGTTTTAGTTGTGTTGGTTTTTTTTGGTTTTGTTTTGTTTTGTTTTTTTTTTTTTTAATTTTCTTTTGGTGCTTTTAATGCTTAAGAATAGTAAAGTAAAATATTACATTCTATTGTTGAAATACCCCCAAAATTTTGATGCTTTGTGGCAAAATCTAAAGAAAAGAAAGAAAAATTCTTCAGTTATCTGTCAGCCTTTTATTTTCCTGGTTGGTTACCACAATCTCATCAAAAGATTAAAAATCTGTTAGCTGTTCAAGCCATAAGTGAGTAGCAAACCATTGAGAAAAATGGAAGTATGTTCCACTGTCTTTTTTTCCATGCACATGTTAAACTAATCAGAAAAATCTTCAATGAAATAAGCTTTCAGCTCCACTCCTGATCCCTGTAAAGATGCTTTCAGCTTTCCAGTTTTCTTGGAGAAAGTACTTCCATTATGCCAAAAAGATTGTTGCTTTGTTCCCAGAACTGCTCAATATCTCATTTTGATATTTATGGTCTCATTTTATAAGATGTTCAGCTCTTTGCCTTAGATGTGAGATGGAAATGTATATCAGTTCCTAAGCAGAGTTCAGCTTGAGTTTGGGATGCACGAATGTTAATTCATCTAAAAACGTTAAACTACAGCCTTGATAATTAATTATCATCAAAAAGCTAATAGCCTTCCTGTGCCACATGTATACCTAATGCTCCATTTATTTTTCTATAGCTTGACACAAAACTGTGTCCATAAACTAGGTTGTACTAAGACTATGGCTTTTGAACTCACTGGAGCAACATGGACAGAATAGCAGTTCTGACAGATGATTTTTTTAACCTCCTGCATCCCTTCATCCTATTCAACAGCTCCTCACTCATATTTGCTGCTCTGTCCTTCTACTTGTCCTGACATGGTTGTGAGCCTGCTGACATTACCTACCAACGAACCTTGAAGAAGCTGGATTCTTGCACTACCTCCCATTTCCCTTTTGGCTTTTATTTGGGTTAGTTTTCTTTAGAACTGAAATCTAAACTAACAAAGGATATTTAGTCTGCTTTAGAACTCAGTCATTACTAGAGAAATATAAACATAGAAGTTAATTTTTTGTGAACCTCTATTTGCCAGCAATTGAAACAGTGTCAGCCATGGTTGTGCCACAATGGATCGAATATGATACAGGGCTTGATCCCGCAAGGGGCTAGCTCTTCAGCTCTGGTATTTTTCAGGCTTGCCTGATGTACATCTGAGTAAGTCCTTCAATCACTGTTAGACTTGAAGAGATCAGCAATAGGTTTAAAATGAAGCGTAAGAACTGAGAGGCTTGAACTGCACTACCTATATAGGCTATGAATAACCAGGATATGCGCTGTATTGAGAGCATGTCAGATGCAGCAAGTGAGAAAAAGCATTGATCTCCTGCAGAAATCTAGAAATCTCACAAACTGTCTGTGAAAGTTGGACTATGCATCAGGGTTTTCCAGAGTTCAAACCCTGTGTTTTCACCAGTGTACCTCTGTTGACCCACCTTGCCCACCTAGCATCCACAGCCATCTGTTCCCCCACAAACAATTTCTGCCCAGAATCATACAAGTGTCAGGGACCATCCTGCAATCACAGAGAGTGAACAGTTACCTGCTAGAGTGACAGCAATGGAGACAGAGTCAGATCCCAGGGTATTGGACGCATTGCAAGCATAGAAACCTACATCAGCTTCCACGGGTGCTAGAATCTGCAAGGAGTCATCAGGCTGAAGTAGCATCCTGGAGTAAAGCAGAAAGAAAGGCGTAATACTCTCAGTTTGTGTGAGCATTAATATATTTACTGGGATTTTTTTCAGGTTTAGGTAGTTTTTACAGTTCAGGCCTTTAGGTCATATTTAAAAATGTATCAAGAACTTGACAGTCTTACATTAAGACTGTGAGCTGTGATTACTTAAATTAAATTTTAGCCTCATTTCCAGTTCTTCTACTGCTGATAATGTCTATTAGAGAAAGATTGCTGAGTACTTAAGACATCTGCCCGTGGTTTGTGAAAACTCCTCCTCTGCTGTGTCACTTCCTATGTGATGTTGAACAAGTTCCCTAGCCTCCCTGTCTCCCAGTTCTGCAAAGTAGCAGTATCAATAGTAAAGAAAAAGCCAAATTATTGCAAGAAAAAAATTATGAAACCTGCTGAAGCTAGGCTGAAAGAACTGAAGTGAACCACAGGCTCAGTGTCAAAATCTGAAACAGGCTCCAAATTCTTGGACTGCCAGGCAGTTTGTACAAAGTCAGCAGTCTTGTTGCTCCCCTAATAGTGAAGAGAGAGAGGAATAGTCAGCTCCTCCTTGGACTGAACCAACTGTTTCTTTCCTCTGCCAGTAAGAGGCAGATCTACTATGATCTCAGTGTACTGTCCATGGTTAAATGGGATGAATATGGCCTTAGAGCTCTTACGAACTGCTGCTTTTCACAGTCTGGTTTTGCATTGCAGTGGTGTAACTCCACCAGTCCTGACGCATACCTGTTTAAGCAGCAATTCAGTCCATGGACTCCTGTCAATGCTTATGCACCCTTATTTTCAATACATTGTATTTCATGATTATTGTTCCTTTATCTTAATTTTTTAGCTGAAACTGTTGGTAAAACCTAATAATAAATTACATTTCTCATCACCAAATTTCAGCAGCTGTTGTACGTCAACTCTTAGTTAAGGCTGTGATTGACAGTGACAAGGGTGAAAGCAGGGGAGTGATATGCCTGTAAAACACTTGCAATAAAAGTCTGCTCACAGGTCTGGAATTGATGAGTAAGTTTCCACTCCCACCCCCTCAAGGAAAACTGTTGTCTCATGGACCAGAAAGCAGCAGATACTTGATCTTGCACAACACTGAGGGTGGTAGAGCTCTAAACCAAACCAGATTAGGACCACACATCAAAATCTATTACAGGAGAAAATCCAGGGTTAAAATTCTTTTTTTGACCCTTTTTTGAGTAATAATAATAATAATAATAATAATA